GGAAACAGGCTCCAGGCTCTGAGCCATCAGCCCAGAGCCCGACGCGGGGCTCGAACTCACGGACCGCAAGATCGTGACCTGGCTGAAGTCGGACGCTTAACCGACTGCGCCACCCAGGCGCCCCCAGGCATAGGGTGTTTTTAAAAATATTTGCCAAGACCCCTCCAGACAAATAAATCTGAGCATCTGAAGGTGAGGTTCATGCATAGGTTATTTTTAGAAAACTCTCTAGGAGATTCTAATGTTTAGACAGGTTGAGAACTACTAAATAAGAATGTCCTAAAGCACCATATATAAAAGAAGCTTCAAAAGAATGGGACTTTCCATTTTTATGCAGACAGCTGTTAGTAGCAGTGCTGTATGCTTTCTTTTTGCATTAATAGCTTCTGGTAATTATACTGTGTCTTATGGCCACATCACTTACCAAATCATTCCTGTGTCAGTTTTTGATGCAGCCTGTTTATTGTTTGAACAGCCTGTATCTGTTCCAACATGCCTTTTCTCTTTTCCTGGTGATTCATCCTCATGACATACAATGGAATATAAATATTTATTGCAACCATCTTTGGGTTTGGTAGAATCAACGTATCACTAATGGTGTAGGGAAATACTGCTTGACAAGCCTTTATTTGAAAACCTAGGTCTAGTTGTGTTTTGGAATCAAAATCTTCAGATTTTAGAAAACTAATGAAGTACATATATTTAACTTAAATTCCCCAAAAAAAGACTCTCGGGTGGTACCTATTCTCAAATACACTAATGTTTCTATGGTGAATGTATGAATAGTACCACTAAGTGTGATAACTGAACACTATAAAGAGAGCCTCAGATCAGGTCAGTTTTGTCACCAAATTTAGGAAGGAACTTTCTGTTTTCAGAGCTTTTTTTGGATATGAGAATTATAGATAAGGAATTGTGGCTCTTTTTGTCTTAGATGTGTTTTATTGTAACATCCTTCATAATTGGATATGTAACTAGTTCAACCTATTCTTCCTCTTTACTGAGTGAACAGTTTATTTTAAAAACACTTTCTGGGGCACCTGGGTTGCTCAGCGGGTTGAGTGTCCGGCTTCGGCTCAGGTCATGATCTCGTGATTCGTGAGTTCGAGCCCCGCATCGGACTCTCTGCTGTCATTGCAGAGCCGGCTTCAGATCCTCTGTCCCCATCTCTCTCTTTGCCCCTCCCCAACTTGCGCTCTCTCTCCCTCTCTCAGAAGTAAACATTAAAAACAGAACCTTTTTGATAGAAAAAAATAAAAACACTTTCATAGAAAGAACTCCATATAAGAGTATAACAAAACAATACGTACTGCCTACCTAGGGCAGCCAAAAGGTATACATACCATTTTTATCATACTGTTATACAGTAGAGAAGAGGAAGGATATGTGGCTCAAGGCTTTTGAAGCTTTTGAAGGAGACCTAAAGATTTCAAGGAGTGGCATATGAAGACTCATCAAATGGAGCTACCAGGAGAACAATGAATTGATACAACAGGTCATTCCATTCTTAGCTTTTCTCATTACTTGGGTTATGAGTGTCTCAACCAAGGTGTACAAATTTCTTTCTTGTTTCTAACTGCTGTATTTGTAGGATGCTAGCTTCAGAAATGCCAGACCCATCCCAGTTAAAGACCTAGTGGAGAGAAAAATCATGCAAGGTGAGATATCATAAACTCTGCCTCATGCCTGTAGTAATAACGGCTGCTACCTGTTATGCACAGCAGATATACTGGAGTGCAATCATCTGATGTCCTTGATGTTTCATCTGCTGTTCCTGATGCCATCACAGTGAGAAAAAAACTGTCTTAGCCCCCAGATCTCAGGTGAATTGTACATATTTTAAAGATGAAAACACAGTTATGCAGCTAAATTATTTAATCTCCTAATAGAGTATCTGTTGCTATAATTCCAAATGGTCCTGAATATTTTATTAAAAAAATTTTTTTAATGTTTGTTTATTTTTGAGAGAGACAGAGTGTGAGCAGGGGAGGGTCAGAGAGAGAGGGAGACACAGAATCTGAAGCAGGCTCCAGGCTCTGAGCTGAAGTCTGATGCTTAACTGACTGAGCCACCCCAGTGCACCTGTTCCTGAATATTTTAAAAAGTATATAGGTGTTCGGTATATGTTTGTTAAATTAAGTTGTTTGACTTTAATCAGTGTTTCCTTTGAGTCACTGAAAGCTGATAATCAGGAACATTGTTCTGGAGGAAAATAAAAAATAAACCAGTTTGGCTACCTGAATTTCTGAGGACTGTGATGATTCCAGCATTTATCAGTCATGCGACGCACTATTAATGGTTTTGAAACTAATGAGTCAGGAAATGATAATCAGGGTAAGGCTCCTAAAATTGTTTTCTCTGTCAGGGCTAGACATGTTAACTCTCATTCGTCACCACCTTCAAAATTTATTTTATACATGTGGCAACCCTTTTTTTAATGTTTGGATTTTTTTCTTTCTTTTTTAAATTTATTTTTTAGTTTTTTAAGTAATCTCTACCTCCAATGTAGGGCTTGAACTCATGACCCCAAGACCAAGACTCACATGCTCCACTAACTGAGCCAGCCATGTGTCCCAGATAGTTTTTCTTTTTTGTTGTTAATATTTAATTATTATGAAATACACTGAATTTATTTTTTAAAATATTAGTATATTAGAGATAAAACTAAAATATCCTTTTGCCTCCACAACCCCCTCAACAAACCTAGCCCTCTCCTACCTTTCCCAAAATAACTAGCACTAGAAATTTGAGATCTTTTCTACACAATAATTGTGTTGGGTTTATTTTAACATATATTATTTTTAATCAATGAGATCTTGTTATAATTAATACTATGAAAGTTGGATGCTTTCATCCAAGAA